ATTTTCTTGTCTACCCTTGTGTGCCATTTGGAACGTGGCAACTGGAACTGCTGCACTTCGGTGCCAAGTTCTATGTTGAATCCAGACAGACAGACAGCTTGGTGGTTCAGTCGTAGAATACTCCTCAACCACTTACGTGGTCAGGGTTCAATCCCCTGGCTTGATACACTTCTCAACCTGGCTTAACCAGTAAACAGGAGTAGTTGGCATTGAGGCTAGCGACCCCATCCCATGTAAAAATAAACACCGCCACTAATGAGACTCCAAAGCTCAAACTTGAAGCCAAACTATGTTCTACTGGGGACTCAAAGGGACTCTGAAACTTTGACCATATCTTATCATAAACAAGTTTACAGCTGTCAAGTTACCAAGCAGCTAAGATACTCATCAAGAGATTAGAAGTAATCAATAAATTCTGAACTTGGAATTTGTGTTAGCTGACAGTGTCGGCTAACAGCTGTGTCATGTATACAAACGATAACTTTCCTGATTACATCTTTTGAAAAACTGTCTTACAACAAATAAGACGATAAATCCTATAATCATCATATACGTCAGTTTATTTGAACAATTCTCCACGAAAGTAATTTGTATGCTCAACTCTATATACTAAGAATGCGAGTTTACCACAGTCTTATACGAAATTCTAACGGTAAGAATCCTGAAATTCTCTTCAGGATTTTGGCATTCTTTGAATGCGCAAAAAGTATTGCTAACGATCGCCTCTATTGCATATAATTCCACACTATTAAGAACAGCGATTGGCCGGTCGGTTTTCGGCATAAAACTTTGTACATATGTGCGGCAGTTCAAGTCGCCACACTCCCTCCTTGTAGCACACAAAGTAAGAGAAGAAAGTAGGAGAAATGCATAATATAGACAGCAAACAGAAGTGTGAGACAAAGGAATAGTAATAACGGAGAACAAAACAGTTTCATTGGAAATCATAAGTCACAAGGAGTGGATGAATCTGCACCAGCCATTCAGAACGATTTTGAGCCATGTCACCAATTGTTTCCAACCATTGGTGTTTACCGTCCGGAGGACCCCAACCAGGAAGCCAGTCTTCACCTTCCTACATAGCTTAGACTAACTGTTGTAGATTGCATTGACTGGTGCCATGTTTTCGTTTGACCGCCACTAGCTCTTTTCCAGCCTGACCCTATATCAGCTAACATTGCCCATCAGTCGAGGAAGGCGATGACTAGGCATACGTAACACATATCCTAACCATCTCAGTCGATGTAATTTCACAGTCTCGTCTATTGATTTCCCCGCCTTACCTAGCACTCGACGCCTAACCTCAATATTGCTCACCTTATTATACCACTTCACGCGGGAGATAGAGCGCAGACACCTATTATCGAAGACAGCTAATCTTTTCAGGTCTTCCGCTCACAATCATAAAGGAGGACGAAGCGGACTGTTGAGCAGTACACACGCCCTTTGGTCGATAGTCGGATGTCCCGTCTACTCCAGAGACGGCGTAAACTGGCAGATGCGAAACAAGCCCTCTGTATTTGTGCTGAGATTTCGTCGGAGATCAACCCGTTGAGGCTGGTGATACTTCCCAAGTAAGTGAAGCGGTCAACGTACTCTACCACTTCACTTCCTATTTCTAATCTAGGAGTCGGTGAAGTCAAATCTTGCAGCATCATCTTACATTTTACAGGGGCGAATCACACGCCAAACATACGAAGATTGTTGCTCCAATTGGCAATTGGAGTAATATGGTTTGTCAAAAACCTGTTATTGAATAGTTTGTGCACTAACGTTTTTTCCTTTAGGATCTCAAGTTTAAATCCGGCTCTGCCTACTTTAGTCTAAATAACACCAACATGCCCTATGTTCCACTAGGAACCCAAGGGAACAATAATAATATAGAGGCATCAGTTATGCTTCACAGCCTGGTGCATGAAAAATCTGTTCCACGAGAGGTTCACTTCCCAACTAACCAATGATTGATTCATCACTTTAATCGCCCCACCCCTTCGTTCCCGACAAAAACAAGGACTGAAATCAGTAATGTGATTACAATACCGTTTCTACAGTCAGGCATTGAGAATGTGCCTGGAAAACTTCTTAATTTATGAGGAACTCAGTAGTAAAAACAACTAATCAATGCGCAAAGTGAAAATTCTAGTAGCCCAAATGACATGTGATTAAATATTCAGCCAAAATGAAAGTGTATTAGTATTGAAAAATGTCCATTCCCCCCGATACACACACACACCATATTAATGAGCACGTTAGTAACTCAAGAAACAAACAGAGAAGCAGTTGTAACAATAATCATTCTACTTTACAGAACTCTTCACCAGATGCGATACTACCGGCGGTATTACGATAACTATTGAGATATGTAAAACCAAGTACACTAAGAACAAATGTTATAAAAAAAGCTAGGTAAGTTAAGTCAGCTGGAGCTAGTGACACCCCACCCACCCCCGAAGTTACCCAGGTTGAAGTAGGTGGAGTGGGGTGTCAACCTGATTCTCACTAACTGGAAGTCCAATAGCTTAAACCGATGAACCACATCTCCCAAATCGATAAGGAAGGTGAGTCAATTGATGAGGTTACGAAGCTACATGGACTGAGTCGGCTAAGATATGTGCTGCGCATCCCGAGCCACCACCTGCTTTGAACCAAGACATTTCACCAGTCCATGAAATCTCTGACTAGTTGTTTGGGTCAGACACGTAAGGAGGTGTAGACTGCTTAGATAGTTAGGATCCTCGTGATGTTAGTGACATGGCTCAAAATCGTTCTCAACGACGGAAATTTATTCACTATTCATAATATGCTAGATCTGTGAAAACCTTCTGTCTTCCCATGTTACTATCCTCTCTTTCTCCCACACACACTTCTACTTATTTTAGTTCTTATGATCCTCTTTTCTTTCTAAGGAAAGTTCTATGCTGAAACTCTGCCTGCCTGTCTGTTTTCGACATAGAACTTTGCACTGATGTGCAACAGTTCAAGTCACCACACTCCCTCCTTGTAGCACACAAAGAAAGAGAAGAAAGTAGAAGAAATGCATAATATAGACAGTAAACAGAGGTGTGAGACGAAGGAATAGTAATAACGGAGAACAATATAGTTTCATTGGAAATTTTAAGTCAAAAGGAATGGATGCATCTGCGACAGCCATTGAGAATGATGAATTTGAGCCGTATCACCAGCCATTGATTTTCACCATCCCGAGGACCCTAATCAATCAAGAAGTCTACACCTTCCTATGTGACTGGTTGACTTAAACTAACTGTTGTCGATTTCATGGACTGATCAAGCCATGTTTTAGTTTGACCACCCACTAACTAGCTCTTTTCCAGCCTGAACCAACATATCAGCTAACATTACCCCTCAAGGAAGGCGATGGCTAGGCATACATGCGTAACAACACATGTCCTAACCATCTCACTCCATCGATGTAACTGCTTCACAACCTCGTCGACTGACTCCCCCCCCCCCCGATGCTGAAACTCAGCCTAGACAACCACCACCACCAACCTAGATATCTATCACCTGAAATATCAATCACCACAATATATATATATATATACATATATATATATCATCATGGTGAATACAACTCGCTAACCACCTCATAAAATTAATCAAACACACTCACTCTACAAATGATGCATGCGAACAAATTCTTCAGAAACAAAAAAAGAAAGAAGGAAAAACAAAGAAAAAAGATCACAGCAATTACATAACCATATAATTTGTTATGAGCAATGAATTAATAAGCAGTATGTGTGCATGTAAAAGTATGAGAGATAGCCAACAAAATGGAACCATTGAAAACTTAACAACTGATGTATGCGTGAATAATAGTAATAATAATAACAAGAGATGTCGTACTGATAATAGTAATAGTTATAGAGTAGTCTCAAATTTTAAAAATGCCTTTTTTAAAACTAATACAAGATAGATGCACAGTATAGAGCACGATAAAATGAGACTATTTTATGCATATCCTCTAAGTGAGTGACGGATGACGACAAAGGACAATCAACTAAAATAATTGTGAATACTCATTTTTATAAAGAAGAAATTATTACAATACACACATAAGACAAACAGACTAGAGACAAGAATTAATTAAAACTTCAAAAATATAATATGTATGTACATATGCTTTTATATAACAAGTAATAAGTAAGTCAGTCAGATTATATAAAAACACATTAAATGGGAGGAGAGGAGCGGGGGGCGGGCGAGCGGGCGAAACCAACAAGCGAAATAATATTTCTCTATAAGCATGTATGTATGTGTATATATTGTATACTCGTATTCATTATTCCACAATGTCATACATACTAACACTAATGAATCACTCTGGGAATACAGCTGTTGCTTAACACATGTTGCATAGAGAGTTTTGCACGATAACACAGGCAATTTTGTTTTGGGGGCGGGAGGGGGACTGAAGCATAGAAAGGACACAGAGTAATGTATTATTAGTATTATTGTTGTTATCATGTCATACATGGGCTTTTATTGTTGTTGTCGGTGGTAGTGGTGTTGGTGTTTCTCATCTAAATAATAATAATAGAGAAATGAATAAATGAGATCGATCCAAATGCGTAGAAGAAGAAGAAAATAGAAATGAAGAAATATCATCTATCAACAAGATCGATAAAAAAACCGCTTGGATCTTTCTTTCTCCGGGAGTGGTTCGCACTTTCACCCCGACCTTTCTTTTTATCTTTTCTCGGATTATGATAATAATATTTACTTCAATCTTTTTTAAGGGAAAATTTTATGTACACGTCTAAGAGAATTGGTGGTCAGATAGATGATAGAGTTGGCTGACTGGCTGGCTGGCTAGATGGAGTATCGTCTCTGATCTCAAAAAAAAGAGAAAAAACGAACAAACAAAAACACACAAAAAAAGAAAACAATTAAAACAAAATCAGGGGAAATTATTTTTTACAATAGGGACAGTAATAAGTTTCAACATTGGCTTCACTTGGTTTCAATCCAAGACAGACTTGATGATACCATAGGGCACAACGATCGCATTGAATCCAATCAATGGCTATATCTTGGGGTTGTTTACACGGTCGAGCAGAACACTCTTCACTGTCATAATGGAACATATCACCGCCTGCAGCAGCAGCAGTATCATCTTCAGCGTCATAACCACCACCCGATTTGCTTGATTTGCCTGAACGACGCTTCTCCTTACTACTATGCATATGACCAGGTTTAGTTGTACTGGATGATGATTTACGTGAAACAGAATTTGAATGTGATTTTTTCACTTTCTCTGTACCATTGGAACGTTTTTTCATTGATTTAGAACTAGCTGCTGAACTTAACCGTTTTGAAGTGGAATTTTCATCGTCATCATTACTATCAATATCATCTTCTTCATCAACTTTAAGACGATTTGAAGTGGCAGGTTTTTTGAATTTCTGGCGATTAGCATTACGTGATGCACCAGAACCAGCACCAGCACCGCCGCCACCACCACCACCACCACCTCCTGAGGCTGCATTACTTCTAGGTCGTTTCGCGTCGACTGATTCATCATCACTTGATCCAATTGAATCGTCTTCACCATCTGATCGTTGTGTAGAAGAGACTGTTGAACCAGGTTGTGCTGGATAGGATTTGCGTTTTTTAGTTGTTCCTGCGGTAACACTTTCTTTAGCTGGTGAATCACTTAGTTCTACCTGTCAAACAAGAATAGAGAATACAGAGATAGAAAATGTACTGGGAGATATTTAAACAATAGTGATGCGTGAGTCAAAACTCTGCAAGAACTAGAGACGTTAGCTATTCGGAATGATATATATTTGAACAGATCGATGCATACTCTGGGGAATGGAAATATATGAGGTAAGAGTAACAGGTGAGCGTGTTGTGAAAGCTAAAACTGTACACACTGAAGTGAATGCAACGGAAACGCGGCTATAACTAACATATTTTTTTTCATTTGAGTATCTAAACTACTACGTCACAGCCCCAGAACAGTACAGATCAATAAGCAAGCACTTAGTCTTCGGCTGCTTCATTTACACGTCCACTGAACTATAAAAGAGTTTAACAACTTACCTCTGTAAAGATTTCTACAACATACATCTAGTAAAATCCCCCCCCCGCCGGGAAACGCTGAACTCCTGCAGGAGGGGTTCCTAGAGTTAACAGTAAAGTTACTAAGAAATGTCATCTGATTTTAATGTATGTAATATTAGTAAATCAATAACAGGTGCCACACAATTGGTATGGTGCATAGTCTGGTGTAAATGAAATCCGTTCTAGGTAACTTAATTCTAACCAATGGTTATCGTATGCAAGGGAACCTCGATGCATTGTCTAATGATGATGTTCAAAACACGAAACACTCATACACCTTAAAGTAAACTAGGAGGAAACAATTGTCCAGTACTCCCTAGTGGTTTTCTAATGGTTCTCTAACCGATGTCAGCTTATGATGAAATCCTGTAACCAATCAATCAAATCTCTACAAACCAATACTTGAATAAAAATTAACAGCCAGCTGTGATAAATTTGCTGGTTATAAATCAACTTTGCAATCTATAAGATCTGATTTTGTCAATAAATTTTATCCACTGAGATTGAATGAACTAGTTCCTCTAAACAGTTTACAGTTAGAACCCCAAAAACACTTGTGTACAAATTCGTGTAATATTTAATGTGGTCCAATTGTACTAAGTAGCTCTAATGTTCCATGTAGTTAGAGTGGGGCCTAAACAAGTGACCAGCCGATAGAATATATTAGCCTTGAAATTGAATAAATGCCTTAGGGATAACGCATCTGTGTATTACAAACTTCAAGTTAAATTACCAGCTTCAGTAAAGCAAGAATCCTAAGACATTCATGGTTCTGGTAGGTGACATCACAAGAAGTCATCACAAGTGAGCTATCACTAAAAAATGAATCCTACGTGAAGTCCAAGGACTGCCTAAGGTAGTTTCTACGTTCTGGAATTTCTTTTTATTCCTTCACGTTCCCCGGTGGAACATAGGGCTTCAAGCTAGTGGCGTGAAGTTTCTGTAGCGGTGTTTATTTTACAGGATGGGGTTGCTAGCCTCATGCCCAACTTTTCCTCCTTACCAGCATTATTTCTGGCTCAGCGAGGTAAAGGAGTGCATCGGCCGGGGATCGAACCCCCAACCATGTGCATGGTCGGCGAGCGTCCTAACCACTATACCACCGACGCACACAAGAGGAGGCGGTCTCCACGCGCGGACCGGACTGTCACATGGCCACCATTCACAGGCGCTATCCCGCTACCGCACCACGCGGGGACTTTTGCCTGCTGGGTTTCCCCCTGGGCCAGTGCGCCCCTCCTTAGTCGACCTGGACAACCCGTCCTCCGACAGGTCATCCATGTCGGCGCCATGCTTAGCGTGGACGCCCGATCAACGTAAGCACACATATGCCAGAACTCCCGGTCCCGCGAAATTCCGCACCCTGGCCTCCAAGTAGCTAGATTACAGGCGTACGCCGTCTCTGACCAAAAGTGAATTCATTTACTCACCTTAACACTCCTGACAGTATTTTAACAGAAAGTATATGTAACTCCGTGACAGCCCTTAAAAAATTTTATTATATATTTACATATACATTGTGAAACAGAACTGAAGACCAAGTGACGGCTAAACAAATGACACACTAGGATGCATTTCAAAATCATATAACAAAAGTATGTAAAAAAAGTCGACTTTTAAATACAACTTAAGCTGTTGTTGTAAAAGTTATCGTATGAAAATGTTAAAAAAATCTTTTGATTTCCCTTATCTAGTCAAAATTAAGTTATTCATCAGTTGTTTACTGAGACACCACTTCAAGTGGAATACAAAGAATTGATTAACCCCGTTTCAACACATAACTTTGCGCAGAAGTGAACTAGGGTTAAGCTGTCACATTTCACGTAACACAAGGGTAGACAAAAGAAAGAAAACGATAATCATCGAGAAGACCACAAAAAACAGAAATGTGAAGGGGAAAAAATAATAATGTGGGACAAAAAATAACATGGCGGTTCAGGAGATATAGGAGATTACAAAGAGTGAACGCATCTCCGCCACTGAAGACAATTTTTAGCCATATCATTAACACGACCAACCAACCGTTTGGTTCTTAGCATCTCGAGAACCCCAACCAGCCAGTCCACACCTCTCTACACATACTTGACCACCTAAAACCAAAGACAAAGACTTCATGAACTGATGCCAGCCTCATGGTATGACAACCCCTTAGTCTTTTCCAACCTCATCCTACGTCAGTTAACATTACGCTTGACGTGGAAGGCCGTGGCATGACATGCGTATCACGTGTACTGTCTCCATAATCTGATCGACTGTCATCCTTCTTACCTGAAACTCTGTGTCTAACCTCAGTATTGCTCACTATATTACACCTCTTAACACCGAAGATAGAACGCAAACATGTAGTTAAAGACTGATAGTCCTTTTTATATCTTCGACTTTCAACTGCTATGTCTCACAGGCAAAAAGTTAAGAGTGGGCTGCTGTGCAGTGACGAGTTCTCTGACTGATAGCCAGATATCTCGTCTACACCAGAGATGATGTAAGTTGACGAGTGTCATTCTAAAGAAATATGTTTATTTCGTTTATAAAACCTACAAAAATGAGTTACCACACCTATGAATTAAAGAAAACAATAGTTCTGCACACAGTGAATTTTATACATATTTGACTTCACTTTTGGCAAGCAACATAATCCATATTTTGGTGTTAGCGTGATTAGCCAAATGCTGCGATAATTTCGCTCGTGAACAGAAAATCGACCGTAATGACACACACAAACCATTCTTCATTTAGTGAAGATTGAAGAGTAATACATGTGAAACCTGTTTGAAAACAGATATCTGGAACAGACGTTGTAAGCTATGAGTCACACAATTATTACGTGGAGGCTAATAGTAGTAACCATTTTCCCGGATTGAAGTAAGTGGATTCCGATTGAAACGCATTACGTATAGGCTGAAATCCAAGTGATTAGTACAATCAGTCATCTCCAATATCAGATGTTGAAACAAGAAAAGATTTTTCTTAATTCACTGGAAAAGTGGGACAACAGAGTGTGAATTAGTTTTGAATTACTAGCTTAACAATGCAGAAATATACACAATTCATCAGTTTTGGTTAATACTTTATGTCTCATACCATGAGACGACAATTCCATGGACTTTTGTCATGCCTTTGTCTGACCACGCATTACTCTTCTGAATTCAGTTAATATTGCTCCTAGAAGGTGACATAACGTGCGCAACTCATTCTGGGTAACCTACAACCTTATCGGCCCACCATTCTTATTTACAAAACATTTCCGTCTAAACTGGTTATTATTTATCACACTGTTTCACCTATCGTGAACCAGTGAACTCAGACGACTATAACAGAACCCTTGATAAGATGTTTCTATAGCTTCAATGGCTATATCCAATAACCTCATATTGCGACAATAGGAAATGTTGTACAGTACACAGGCCTTTTACTGGACAGATGGATATCACGCCGGTCATTGGGTTAATTACACGCAAGACTTGTGCCCGATCGAAATTTCTCATTAACTGCCTCAATATCCGTAAGTACAACTTTCTAAGCGAACTTTTCCACACTATCAATTATCTCACTTTTAATCTGTAAATTAAGAATCGGTGCACACCAGTCTATCATACTTTAGTGAAAACATACATGCGCATTTTGTGAAGATAACCGGCTGGATGCAACTAGTTGCACAGATTCGCCTGCGAAAGTGTCATTAGACTTAGTCGCAACACGTATACTTGAAAGCAGAAATCACTGGTATTACTATACCTGAATAGACGATTTCGTCTTGTATATCAATGAGTTACGTGTGCTCACTAAATCCCCTACGCAGATGACTTAAAAATCTGAAGGGTGGTAATGACAAGTCCATATTACAAGGAGTCCTCAACAAATTGTCAGTGGTCCAAAGAATGGATGTTCCTGATTAATGTAGCAAAATGTGAAACCATACACATTGGACGAGCAAGCATCAGCCCCTACAAGGTGCAGGAAATAAAACTGCCACTAATTCAAACTCATTTGGATTTAGGTAACATAGTAAGTCACGACTTAAAAACTACAGCACACTGTCGCGCGGTGGCTGCACGCAGTTTCAGGTCTTCATGGACGATTTGCAGAGTCCTTCATAGAATCACCAGAGATATATCCACCTCTTTATATACATCCCTTGTGAGGGCAAGACTGGAAAACTGTATTCAGGCACCCAGTCCTTGTCATAAAATTGATTCACATATTCTAGAAAGGGTTCAAAGCAAGGCAACACGTATGATTCATGGCATCACTAATTCATCATTCGATGAAAAATCTGACAGTCTGAACCTCTTCTTCCTGTTACACCGTAACCAAAGATCTAATTACAAAGTTGAAAATTTCAAATAATGACTACGGACATGACTTATTCTCTCATTTCCTTCCCACCAGACCGTAAGACCTGAGGACGTAGCAGCTCAGAAGCCAAGGAGGAACTATACTGCCGCGGAGTATTGGTTTTCACACCAAATCATAAATTCCCGGAACCGACTCCCGGGAGAAGTGGTGTGAGGGTCCTCAATTCATCTATTCAAGATAGGTTTGGACAAGAACAGAAATTTATTAGACAAGGGCTACCATAGGCTTCAAACATATCCTCAGTCAATAAATATGAGACCCGATCGAAAATTTGAACGTAGGTGTACAGTCATGAAACAAATAACCGATTTCCCCCCGTATGCAACAAGACTTTGAATACACTAAACTGAAGACTCAATTTATCACTCGTAATCATACCAAGGTACTCATACAACTTTCTAACTTCGTTTATATAATTCCATTATTTTCCATCGCTTAACCAAGCGAGTTGTGTGAGTAGTGCCTTGATATGATTATGAGCAGGAATAAATTGTGCTTGAAACGTCATCAATAAATATAACTGTATAACACTGTAAGAATATCAAAGTAAATTTTACCCATAATGGGATTATACTCTACCTCAGTCCACAAGTTTTACTCATATCAATAAACTGAAGGCTGTTGACGAGAATAAAGATAAGCTTTAGAGCATCGAAGTTACGTGAAACACCTGTCAGCTCTACACAGTTGTGATAGCACTGGCTATTCCGAAATAAATATTTGTGGCTCAGGTAGATGATTTTGATTTGGTATCTTAAATGGACAATACGCGACTATAAATAATTCATCCTCCGCAGGGTAACAGTGCCAATACAAAGAACGGATGAGACATTAAGCAATTCTACAGAATTTTATCCGAATAGATTCCTGTTTGTCGACTTCGCTCGCTCTACACAGGAATAACTCGCCTAGAATACGAGCGACCAAAGTGGATTAATCTAGATAGGGACTCTTTGTCATTGCACTCCTTAAACCACATAGAACAATTTACTCATGCTTTCAGTAAGAGCGATTCTATGATAATGTGTAAGATGGTACAGAGTGCTTCAAGAGTCATGATAAATTAATGAAAAAAATGGATAAACCTACTCGGTATTTTAGGTCAGAGTAAAACAGGGCCACTGGCTCTCCGGGCTTTAGATTGGCTCCATTCAGGTGACCAAAGCATACAATATCTCCATGCTTGAGCGTCACTCCACCCATTACTCTTGTATAATTAACGTATGTACCATTCATGCTGTGATCATAAAGTATCGAACCACCTTTGGCTGAACGTTCTATAGTTGCATGATTCCGAGATATCATTCGGCTATTTATGCAGCTTTCTATTGCATAGTCAGGGGGTATTTTGGTGTTAATCCGTCCAATTCGAATTTCCTTTTGTCCAGGCTTCAGTTCTATTTTCTTTGGACGATACTGGTCACTCGATGAACTGACACATCCAGCCTGCTCACGTTTGTCTTGATCTAAGTCACCGATCCACCGTAACGTAACAGTACTCATTGTGTGATGTACATGTGAAAACCAAATAGTCAACCTGTTTTGTGAAACTTAATTGTGAACATTCACTTAAAATGTCTGCGAATGGGACTTTGAGAGGCTGTTTTTAACAAGGTTCAATGTAAAATAAGTAAAAGTGGTGAGTTCTTAATGAGATTTTGAGTTTTTACGAAGAAAAATAATAAAATTGACAAAAAACATAGTTTCAGAAAGTTAGGCTGGCAAATATCTGTGTTGCTAGAGAGGTGTTGTTAGGCTGAAACTGGGAAACGACCTGAAGGTACTTTATAACAACGTACGCAGTATCAGTAATAAATTCCATAAGTTAGGTATGTCAACAGATAAATAAAACCCAGAATCGTGGTTATCACTGAAACATGAATTGACTTTAATTTGGATAAGACTCCTGCATTGTCAGAATTTAGACGTCTATGTAGCCACATGGTTGACGTTGATGAGGACGGTGGAGTAGAGTAGGTGACACAAAGAATCTAGTCACTCTCTTTTGGTCATTGAAGACCATCGGGTGTTACAATATACCACTAAGACTTGTGGTTTGGTCCAGTTTCAATCTTAGTCTCATCGAAACTTTGACAATCAAGTATTGCATTATTAACTTGTAGACAATCTACTATTTGACATTATATCATACTTCATCCTGCCTGTAAAAATGGCATGCATTTTCATGTAAATTTATGTTTATATGAAAATATACATTATTATTATTAAGTTGAGTGCTTCTACTAATGACCATCTAGTCACCTTTGACATTTTATTTTTCTGTCCATTCACAATGCAAAGAGTAGCTCCTCTTTCAGCAAACCGCTGACTGGAATTATACATAATGTTCGCATTCAGCATGTTGAGAATAATGACTGAGGAATAACATGGTTTTATCACAAGTCATTCCCACTTATCTTAGCAAGAGAAAGGCAAATACAGCCAGTGCTGATGAAATGGCGGTTACTATACCTGTAGAATTTATCAAGGTCCCAGATAAGCTCTGCTAACCAGGATATCTCTAAAAGTTAGGCAGCTTTCTGATCACTACTTACTTGCTAACTCACTCGCTATTCTCAACAATCTTTAATGAGTAAAAAGAGAACCTCGTAAGTTTAAAAATTGTGTTGTTGCATATGAAATTTGCATGTGAAGCCACCATCTCACTTCAGCTTGAGTAGACTTCTGAGGGAAGCAAGGGGAACAACTGAAAGTGACCCATTAGGCAATTTTGTATTCACCATTATTATTCCCTTGCTTTCCGAGTGGAACATAGGGATTCAGCAGCACATCTCCACTTTGTCCCGTCCTCTGTTGTCCTCTTGAGCTACCTTCGTGACCGCTCATAAACTCACCTCTTCTCCACGTGATCTCCTCCATGTCATTCTTGGATACCCAACTCGTCACTTTCCATTCTCGCTCCGCTCAGTCGATGGCCTAGAATGTGAAGTCACCCGAAGTCCATCTCAGCATTCACCTCTATTTCGTTTGGCATTTTCTTTCGACAGTAGGTTCCAGTTTGGTTCTTTGCCTGAGCACGTCGTTGTTCATGCTCTCTGTTCTAACACCTAACCCTCAATATGGGGCGAAGGTATCTTCTGATAAAAGTCTGCAGTCTGCAGGAAATGCTTTCTGTGACCTGCCGAGCCTACGAATCACAAAAGAACTGATTTAACACTGCTATTGGAAACCTAGATTTCATTCCTTATGCTGAATGCACCAGATTCCCAAACTGATTTTAGAGTGACAAAGAGACGCCTTGCTTTTTCCATTCTAGTTTCGAAATCCCCATCCGCGTAAGTGAAGTGGTGTTGCTTAAATAATTGTGAGAAGTGACCTGTTTCGAATTTCTCCCACTGATACTGACTGTCAGTCATTGTTGGTTGGTTGGTTATTTTCATTACCTCCGTCTTCTCTAAGTTCCCTTTAGGTTCTGTCATCTCTGTTTCTTCTGCCGACTTAGTGATTTTCGTCTTGTAGATCGAGTTTGTGTGACATAAAACGCAAATTATCCGTGAAGTTCACATCTTCTAGAGTCATCTCATCGGTTTAGCGTATTCCTATCTTCTCATTCCCCACACTCTTCCACATGATCCTGGTTGACTAACTTTTCACAGGTGTGCAGCAGTTCGAGTTGTCAAATTCCTTCCATGCACCACACAAAGCAACATAACAGAGTAAACAAGAAAGTGAAGACAGATCCAAAAAAAGAGATAAAAACGGAAGTGTGAAGGAAAAATAATGGTATTAAAGAAGAAAAACGGAGTTTTGCTGGGTGCGACGAATCACGAAGAGTGCCTCTGCGCCAGACATTGGAAACGGTTTTCAGCTTTTCTTGTAAACTTACCCGTTTATACGAAATATAAATAATTATTATATCATCAATTGTCCCCAGCCTTCACTGGTTCTTACCCCAATGAGGACCCTAACCATTCAAGCGCTATACACCTCTACTTATAACTCGCTGGATGAAGCTAATTGTTATGGATTTCATTGACGTTATAGCTTGACAGATGAAGCCATGTTTCCGTTTGACCTCTACTAGCTCTTTCGGTCCTATTTCAGTTAATATTGATATCCAAGGAGGGATGGTGGTTAGGCATGCATGCGTAACACATGTCCTAACCATCCCAATAGACGTAACTTTACAGCCTCATCGATAGATTTTCCCTCCTGACCTAACACTAAACGCTTAACCTCTATACTTCCTATCACATGATACCACCTAACACAAAAGGCATAACTCAAATACCTATGATCAGAAACAGTTGAGAATACTCAGTCGAATAAAGAGAAGGGCACTAATCATTCAGTAGATGAATAAAGCCTTAAAAATCATAAAGAGGACATAGCTCCTACTTGGTTACTCGTTCTACCATTCTGAGTGACCTTCCCTCTAGAAACGACTTCCCTAAGATTGTCGGTTCGATTGGCCCATCTAACGTAGGTTTATCTTGGGCTTCCCATCAAGTACAAGTTAGGGTTGTTCACCTGATATTTCACGAAGAAAAGTAACGATGCTATTTGTCGCCTAAGGAAACTGCTCACCTTTCCTATTTAAATTGCCATACTAGACTGTCATGGGTTGTTTCCTAGCTTGAGCATTTTCATCTGCCACCAAATAGTTAATATCCTCAAACTGACTTTTCTCCAAAAGATACATTTATCAAAAACCGGTTTGCATGACTTTCTTGAAAGTGGCTTGTCAGCATGAGCCCATAACCTTTTGAAACTCACTCATATGCATTTGCTTTAAAGTCTGGCCAGATAACAATCCATTTGAATAGTGAAAAGATATACCAGGGTTAATAATATGAGTGATGAATTTGGCAATATTTACTTCTAGCCATTGGAATTGGTGCTTTACACCATGACAGTCTTGATGTTATGACTACGTTATGTTTCACAGATCCCTTGCTCGCTATGCTGAAATCATGGTAATGTTTATCACTAAGATGGACCACTACATATATTCTGTTGAACTCTCTGTTGGCTCCATCTAGAGTAATGGCTGATGCACTCACACTAGCTTAGATGTCTACCTTGCCACATGGAGACGATAACTAAATGGGGACCACAAGCAAAACTTGGTTAAGTTGAGAAAAAAACTATTTGAGGAACTACCGAGAGCGGGTTAGCTAGCACCGCACCGGAAAAGTAGGATTTTACCTGGCTGTGACCTCCAAACAGGTGTTTACCCACCACATCTGCGAGTCCCTGTAACGCGGGAGAAGGTAGAGATTAGTTAAGGAAGTAAACAATTTCATCGCACCCTGAAGAATGCTTCACTGCAAACACGAAAAACGAAGAAATAAACAACTGGTAAATGCAATAATAAAATGTTAAGGCATGTTCAAAAGTAGGTTTCCCACAAATTCTGACTTAAGAAGATATTCTGTGGCCTGAAAAACAAACCATGTGCAGGAGCGTTATTTACAGGATGAGAAAGACAAAAGACTTACTTCTTCAGAGTTCATAATTATTTATGTAAACGAATATCTATGTTTCAATCCTAGATAATGGACGTTAGAAGTTTAACATTATACCTGAAGGTAGATCAGTCTTGGAAAAAAGGATTGGGCAACTTATTTGGCGACCTCGCAAATGTACCCTAGAGGTAGAGAAAAGATCAGAAAGGTCAATTCCTAAATCACATCGAAGTAAAGTCGCCTCCCCCACCTTCGGTATGACAGTGAGGAGAGATTTAGATGCTCTATCCTCTTGTCACAAGGAAGGTGCAAGATACCACTGCACCCACTGCACACATCTTGGAAAGTGTGATTTAGGGATTGACCTTTCTGATCTTTTCTCTCCCTCAAGGATACATTCGCGAGGTCATCACAAAAAGCTGCTCAAACCAAGGATGAATTAAATACGTGTGGAATTTAGATTCTCTCACGGAGTGGTCAACGACTGGGACTCCTTACCTGACTTGGTAGTAACAGCTCCATCGGTGAATGTTTTCAGAGAGAAATTAGATCGCTGCAGTGATACATACTACAGGGATTAACATAGGCAACATTAGCCTTTTCGTCTGGATCTGGGACCTATGAAGGTCACTGATCATTCGTCCAAACACTGTGAAAATGTGAAATAACATGGATAATATATTTTCAGGCATGCTACTTTGGTCTTAAAGAATTAATATGGTTATAGTCATGATGTAATTCCTGTTAACTTTCCAGTATTCAACTGCAACCTGAGAAGTTCAGAGCATTATGTGGGATAGGGCTCACCACTGAAACCTTTGATATATATATGTGTGTGAACAAATTTAAACTCAGTAATGATGATTAACATATGAAGAGGTATAGGAAGTGAGATAGTTATTCCAGTTATTCTTTTTTATTGCTCAAATGAGCACAGTTGTACAAGCATAATCCATGTCTACCGTGACATCTCCCGTCACCAGACCCAACTGATGTAGTAATATGATTAGAGGAGTTGGAAAATTGGGACTGTTGTTGTCAATGTCAGCGGCTTTAGCACAAAGTCAGGAGTCG